CAAAATTATATCATTTTTTGTTTTTGAGTTATGATTTTATTTAATATTTCAAATCCCCTTAACCTCCATTTTTATTCAAATTTTTTTTCAAAATCAATAGGTGTCCTCCCCTTATAGAGCTTGATTTTTTTCTGAAAATTGTAAGTTAATATCATTTTTCGTTTTTGACTTATCGTGCAGACCCATTGATTTTGAAAAAATTTGATTAAAAAAGGAGAGTTGAAATAAAAAAAAAAAAATCATAAATCAAAAACAAAAATAAAAAATGATTATCAACTTGAAATTTTTAGCAGAAATCAAGCTCTATAATAAATAAATAAATAACTAAAAATGAAGAGATAAGGGGGTTGAAAAATTGAATAAAAACCCAACTGAGAAACAAAAAAACGATATCAAATTAAAATCTTCAGGAAGAAAGCTTTTGATTCTTAAAAAAATGGGGGTTAAGTGGGTCTGTTAAACTGTGAAAAATATAATATATATCTTCATTCTAGTTAATAAATAATATCGATAATGTGCGGAAATCCACTAAAAAATGGACGCAACAGTTTGTCAAATGCATTAAAATATTCTAGATTGTTTATTTTTAAAAATGTGGGATAATTCATCTCTCTTCATGTCGAATCTCCTGTTTTATAACTTAAGTTTTACTTTTTAGATATTAAAAATAAATAAATAAAATAATCAGAAGATCTTATCGGCTACATTCAAATTGCCGCCTTCTTCAATATATTTGGAAAACATTCGCAATATTAACATTGATAAGATAAGACACTTATATGTGATAGTTCTATTGAATTGATTTTTGTTATATGAGGAAAATCCTCCCAATTCACCCTACACAGACCGTCAGATAGTGACAGCCTCATACAATTCTCGGTCGAAGAGGGTTGAAAAGTACATCGACGTTGAGTAGAATGAAAGGAAATTTACGAGTAGATTTTGGGGATAACACATGGAAAATTTAATATTCCTTAACATAAATATTTTCCGACCCCAAAATGCACTTATCCTTTCGGGTCATTCAAACCAATATGTTTTTTGAACATTCGATGAGTTTATGTGGAAAACTCTGTTAAAATCTCGATTTTTTCCTTACAACCCTTTAGCCACTTACAACATTAAATCCTTTGGTTTTTCGAAGCCTAGTTCTATTAGTTAAGAGCGTATGTACAATTTTTCGGGTATAGGAGTTTCAATAATAGTTCCCTAATTATGAAAATACTAAGGAATGTTTTTCAAAAATTTAAAAAGCAAATTAAAGAATGTGTTAATTTCTAGAGAAGAACTTGGTTGACAACATCGTATTTCTTTTTTTTATAAAAACAGAGCAGTTGAAAACTGTGAAAATAACATATTTTCATTTCACAAAAATAATAAGTCAGTTTTTTTTGTTTTTTATATAAATCATATAATTTTTAAGATAATAAATCAGAAGAAAAATCATCGAAAACCGATTTCAAAAAGGTCTATTAGTTTTGTAAGGAAATGTTAAGAGAAAAAACGCTTTTTAATCGAGTTAAAATTCATTACTGATTTCGCGGTTTTTCTTCCTCGAGGTCCGGTCTCCCTCTTGTTCAAACTGTAGACGGATTATTTTGTACCGTTTTAACACGTGCATGTTAATCCATATGGATTAAAAAATTTAAGAAAGATTTTGTAGAATATAAATCTTTTTCATAAAAAATATATACAGTATAACTTCGATAGTTCGGACAGTGGCTAGACCGGACACTCCAGTAATCCGGGCACTGCTGTGATTCGGACATTTTGACAATTTTGCCTCTGAAATCCGGGCACAAAAATATTCATATGGAAATACTAGAATTTTCCGATCTAAACAAGTGTTAGAAACGGCGCAGCGGCGGCCTCGTCCCTTCATCTTTCTTTCGGCATTTGGTTCTTAAGCGTGTCGGACGCAATGGCTCTAATAAAACGACTACATAAGACACACTGGCAGAAAAATCCAAAATATTAGATTGCCTTGATGCAGGAAAAAGTACACGTCGAATTGCAGAGCAGTTTGGTATTCCAAAATCTACAGTGTTTGATATAAAAAAAAAACAAGGATAAAATAAGGACCTTTATTTCAAAATCATTTCAAGGGCCAGGTAGGAATACCAATAAGTTCGTATGTAATATTTTATTAATTAAATTATTACTCCTATTTTTGTAGGCAAAAGGAGAATCATTCGGAAAGCAGAACATCCGGAACTTGAAGTCGCATTGTAAAGGGTGGTCCAACCAAAACGCACGATGTTAATTGTAAATAAAACAAAAAGTTTTCAGAGAATTATCCTAATATTTTTTATTATGATAGAAGGATATATGACAATTATGTGTGAAACAAAATATCGGCCAAATACTCGCCACGGCTTCGGTGGCATACCTCTATCCGGTGGTTCATATTTTCAATGACTCTGAGACATAATTGACGTTCAATGTCGTTATTGTGCCGAATTATCTCATCCTTTAGCTCTTGAATTATTCTTGGCTTATTGACGTAAACTTTTTCTTTTAAGTATTCGCAAAGAAAGAAGTCGAACCGTGTCAAATCACATGATCGTGGCGGCCAATTAACATCGCCACTGTCGTTGAATTTCTCGTGCAAAAGAGCCATTGTTTCGTTGGCTGTGTGGCAAGTCGCACCATCCTGTTGGAACCACATATTGTCCAGGTCCATATCCTCAATTTCTGGCCACAAGAAGTCCGTTATCATCTCGCGATAGCGAACACCATTCGCGGTAACTGCTTGGCCGACCTCGTTTCCGAAAACGTACTGCCAGCCCATGAACCGCACCAAACAGTCACTCTTTGTAGATGCATCGGCTTTTCAACAATCACTCGTGGATTCTCATTTGCCCAAATGCGGCAATTCTGCTTGTTAACGAATCCACTGAGGTGAAAGTGTGCCTCGTCGCTGAAGATGATTTTCTTCGTAAAGTCGTCATTCATTTCTGTCTGTTTAACCAACCATTCGACGTATTGACGACGCTTGAAATGGTCAGTAGGCATCAGCTCTTGAGTCAATTGAACCATGTAAGCGTGTAAATTCAAATCTTTATTCAAAATTCGCATCAGTGATGTTCGTGAGATGTTCAATTGTTGGGCACGACAACGAGTCGAGGTTGACGGCTCTTCTGCCACACTATCGCGAACAAGAGCCATGTTTTCCACAGAACGAACTAGGCGAGTTTGCACAGGTGTTTTTACATTTCCTACAGACCCAGTTTGCTGAAATTTGTGCACAATTCTCCCGATTGTTCACCCATTTGGTCGATTATGCTAATTCTGGATGGTTAGACAAATTCAAGCTAAGGCACGGAATCCGTTTTTTGAAGGTCTGTGGCGAAAAACTTTCCAGTGATGTTGCCGCCGTAATACACGTAATACACAAAATGGGCTGTGGGAGAAGACGAGTTTGTTGTTGATTTAACTGAAGAACAGCTTATTCAGGATGCAGTAGGGAGCAATATTGAAAATACAAATGAATCTTCTGAATCAGAAGGTGATGTAAATATGGAGAAGGTGAAACATGCAGATGCTGTCAAAGCGTTTTCATTAGCTCTCAGGTGGACTGAGGAGAATAATCTTCCCCTTGAAGATGTATTGCTTTTGAGAAGGCTCAAAAACAAAGCAACTAATGTAGATGCATCGAAAAAGGGCCAAACTACAATTAATAAGTTTTTTTCAAAAAATTAGAAGATATGCAAATTGCATATTTCACTTAGGAATTGTGTACACTTTTGTTTTAGGTATTTTTTGAGAAGTACTGTTTTTTTTTTGTTTTATTTTATGAGAATTGTAATTTTTTTTGGTTGTTTTGATTTTTTTTATTTATTAGTTCGAGAGAATTTATTATTGTATGGAAGTCAATGGAGGACAATTTGAACATTTGATTTAAAAACGCAGTTTTGATTTTTTTGATTGTAAGCATTTTGAAAAAATCTGATTAAAAATGGTGGGGGCTAAGGGAGGTTGATTAAAAAAGAATCAAAAAAGAAAAACAATATCAACTTACTCTATAAGAATAAAAATAGGGGGTTAAGGGGAGTTTAAATTAAAAAAAACATAAACAAAAACGAAAAGCGATGTCAAAATGAAATTTTTAGCAAAAATCAAGCTCTATAAGGGAACGAAGTTTATTGATTCACAAAAAAAATCTGTTTAAAAATGGGGCGTTAAGGGGGGTCTGTTAGACTGTGAAGAGTATAAAATAGAAATGTCAAGCATTGTATATCTTTATTGTAGTTTTTGGAATATAATACTAATAAATGCATCATCAATCTGAAACCTTGAAATTATAGGATTTTTTTAAATACTATTTGATAAAAATAAGCAAAATAAAGTTAAAAAAAAGGTTAAAGTTTTTTTTACAGTATTTAATTTTATTTTGTTTATAATTTGAAATCTGACGATATTGTGGATATTCGAAAAATAAATTAAAAATTGTTGTCTATTTTTCAAGTACATATCTATTAGAAAATCATATATAACGCAATATAGCAGTAAGCAAATCACAGTTGATGGTGTCAAAAGCTCTGCTAAAGTCAAGTAGAGCAATAAACGTGCATTTACCAGCTCTAATTATGTCGACATGTGAAGAAAAGCAGCTATATCCTTTACTATACAGGGTGTTAAAAAAAAAGTGTCACAAAATAAAACGGGGGGTAGTATGGGCCAAAATATGCAGAAAAGTCTTAATAAACATATGTCCGCAAATGAATGGTTTCAGAGATACGGAGTGTTTTGTGTTTTGTATCATTTTTTGATTATCTTTTTTCATTCTCAAGGGCCATGCAGAACTTTTTATGAAGAATAACTCTTTTCACAAAAATAATAATAATAATAATAAAGTTTCCTATATGCTGCAAACTTAAATTGTAAGGGAGGAGAATATTTTTAAAAACAAAAGTTTTACAATTCTAAATATTTTTGTGTTCTTTTATATCGACATTTTGGCAGCAACCTTCGTATATAGAAAAAAATAAATTACTTACCACCATGAGGATGCAGTTAATGAGAATGGGCACAGAAAATACCACGGATATAAAAAGTCCGTTGCTGTCAAAGTACTGCTGCCTCGAAAATATCTTCCAATTCGTCGAGGCCAGTTTGTTGATTTTTTCAGAAAAATACACTAACAACACTAAAAAGAAAAATTCGTAACATCAACGAAAGGTAGAAAAGTTCTTAAATGAAATATTCAATATGTTGTTTTCAAGGCATTTTAATGATTTTTTTTGTTGTTGGCTAATATAGTCCAGGAAAATTCTACCTTAAATTTGAATCACTTGACTAGTTTAGATTAGCGAATAAATTCGTTTAAACAAAGCCTTTTAAAAATATTAAGGATATATTCATTTGGAAAAAAATTTGAGCTACTATTTTGACTAGATAAACAACGTTAGAGCTATATTCATCGTTAAAGAGTATCTTGTTCAAGCAATAATAACTCTCCGATTAAGTGGAAACAGTGATCCTATTTTCTGTGAAAAAGTAAACTTTAATATACATCAGACAAAAACTTATAATTTATAAAGGTTGATTTAGATATAGTGTAAAAAGTATTAAGGCTTATCGTCTCTCCCTCGTAGGATCTAGAGCGAAAAGTTACTTGTCGAAACAGATTGTAAATCTGCCCGAAAACAAAAGAGAAATGATTGTTGAATGTATAAAAACAATGTATATTCAAATTACTAAATGTGTAACTATTTTGAGAAAACAACTTATTAATCTGCTCCTGTATACTGTACCTACAGAATAACAAGCTAAGTAAAATTAGAAAATTTGTTTAAAGTTAAAAGATTTTTGACTTTGAAATATTTTGAATTTCCCTCGTATTGAATATTTTTACTTATTATGTTTAAAATATAAAAAGTATAGCTGATCAAAATTAAGTATAAAACATAAAAAAAATATGAAAATATGGAAAAACATAGTCCAGGCATTTTATTATTATAATTATTAATGAAAAGATATTCCAGAAAAATTTATGTTTAAGAAAATTGTAAGTAGATTATATTCAATGTTTTTTGTAAACTGAATTAAGTCAGAAAATGTTCATTTAAAATTAGAACTATAATAATAAACAACAAAAATGTGTCATTCCAAATTCAACAATAAATTAAAAAAAATAGTATATTATGCAACGATCATGTAATGATGGTTATTAATACACGAGCATTAACCGGGATACGAAACGAGCCAAAGGCGAGTTTCGTATGGTTTATGCGAGTGTTTTAATAACCATTACATGAGAGTTGCATACGCTATTTTTTCTACACCCGATAAATAATCAAGACCTATAAATATTCTATTTATATTGGTATTGAACACAATAACAGTAATTACTCGTATTTCTATAAAAAATTCTACAAAATTGTAATTAATGGTATTACCTTGGGTACTGGTATTTTGGGGCAAAATATTTTGTACTGCATTTTCTCCTTTCTCCTATATGTGTGGAGGAGTGTTCTATATCGCTAATATCAGACATTTTAATATTATAATTATCGAAGTTTAGCTATCTACGAAAATTTAATACGTTTTGACAACTAAAACAATTACATAGGAATTTAGGACAAACGTCAAACATCATGCTTGATTGAAAAATTGTAGGTTTCTATTGATTAAAAATCTGTATCATAATGAAAAATCTGTATCATAATGGGTATCATTATGAAACGGATTTTGGGCATATAAGTGCATTATTATAATACGGGTGTAGAAAAAATATCTTAAAAATAGTTTTTCATTTTTTATTAACACTTTTGCCATTGTTTCGACTAAACTTGTTTTAATAATTCATATACTTACATAAACAGAGGAATATTAAAGCTTGAAAATTTCCGTAATTTCTTGTTAAAATTGCCATCATAAATATGGAAATGTGAAACGTAAAAAGGGCTATCAGCCACGGGTCTCGCCATTCAATCTGAAATAAAAAAAAAATGTATGTATGAGTTAATAGCCTCCCAAAGCAGTAAAAGATAAAATAAGTTCGAAGAAAAAAGTAATAAACCTCGTATTTACGATTTAGAATTTATATTTAGATTTTTAGTCCTCAATTTCGATTTTCATTAAAATTCATGTTTCAATTTAGATGTATTATAACTCATTATAAAATGAAGAAGGTTATAGGATATTTATCAAAAAATACAGGATGGTTCTAAATGCATGCGAAAAAATTCAGGAGATTCCTCATTGAAGAATAAAATTTTCTCAGCTCAACCCCTTAAGAGATATCACCCCATCACCCCCGAGAAAAAACTTAGAAGATTAGACATTCAAAAATAGTAATTAGGAATATTATTTCAGTATTGCCATTATATTATAAGGGGTTTCAATTAACAACCCTTATTTTATTTAATAATTTTTTGTAGATTGATTTTCTTGTTTTATTTGTAAACTTTTTATTTGTTGCTTTTTGTATACAATACGCCATAAAGTGTGACGAAATTTTAGTTCCACTGACAGTTAATTATAACCAATGACGGCTTGTCCTAAGGGGCCAAAGGGCCTTGGCATTAATTACAATAATTATTACAATTCTCACGATGACACCGATATACCTGCCAGTTACTATGTTGCACAGTTGCGTAAACAATTTTCGATTTTAAGACCCAAGACCAATAATATCCGTTCTAAACCATAGGAGTTTGTTTTTAAGGACCTGTCTAACTGCTCTCACGTATTCGTTCGTGTCGATAGGACAGTTGGATCTTTGCGAAAACCCTATAAAGGACCGTATCCCGTAATAGTTTACTGTTGTTATTGAAGGCAAAATTGCTAATATTTCCATAGATCGCCTTAAGCCTGTTTACAGCTTTCCCGAAAACATCAAGACGGTAGAACGACACGTCAGATTTTGTAAAGAAATATGTTAAATATTTTTTGTTTTTATATTTAGTTATGCGTAACAATAATTGTATCAAGTTTTATACAGTGTGTCCGTTAAGTATGGAACAAATTCATTTTTAGCTAAACAGACCATTTTAAGAAATAATCCTGAAACACGTCGATTTTTGATTTTAATTTACCCTATTTTAAAATAATAATCTAATATACAGGGTGAATTACATTCGAGTAATGACGTCACCATCATTTTTTATAAATGGAACACCCCCATTTTGTCTCAATTTTCGGATTACTCTAGCTGAGCTGATTCCAAAAATGTATCACATGTTGATTCCAATTGGTACAGGGTGGACTTGTGGTCTAGCAGACAGAATATGAAAGAAATTATTTCTTATCAATTTTGAAAAAACATAGTCGTCTAGTTTTTTGTGAAATGTCATTATTTGTTTAGTAATTTATTGATGTTCAGTGACAGTTTAGTACTACAATATTTTTGGTATTCGCGAATGTTTTAATTATTGCTTATATTTAATTTGAATTAGAAATGGAGTTAAGTGTAAAACAAAAAATTGAAATACTTATGATGATTGGGTATGGAGACAGATCGTGAACTCAGATGGAAGTGTGCAATTTGTTTAATGATAAATATCCAGAAAGACCTATAACGTGTTCAACAGTCAGTAAGATTGAAAAGAAATTTCGAGAAACTGGTACGGTTGAAAATGTACGCAAATCAGGTCGTCCCTCTGCAAATGCTGATACAGCATTAGATGTTTTACTTAGTTTTAAAGAAGACGCGCACACTTCTGTGCGTAAAGTTAGTCGCGATATCGGTGTTAGCAAAACAACGGTACACAAACTATTAAAGCTTGAAAAATGGCATCCTTATAAAATCAAACTTGTGCAGGAATTAAACGAAGATGATCCTGATAGAAGAATCCAATTTTGCGAAAAAATGATGGATAAATGTCACCGAGACCCTCTCTTGATACAAAACATTATTTTTTCTGATGAGGCCACTTTCACGTTAAATGGCGAGGTTAACCGTCAGAATTGTAGATACTGGGCAAAAGAAACCCCCACTGGATGCGTGAGCATCATCATACACAATACCCTCAAAAGGTAAATGTATGGGCTGGAATTGTAAGAAATCGAATCATCGGACCCTACTTTATCGAAGGTAATTTAAACGGGGCAACGTACCTTGAGTTTTTAAGGGGGTATCTCGTACCTACTTTACGTTATTTGTTTCCCAGCAGACGTAATCCTGGAGGTTGTGATGAAAGTTTATGGTTTCAACAGGATGGTGCAGTAGCTGACGATTAATATTAATGCAATTTATTTTGCATTTGCAATTTGAGCTAGATGATACCCCCTCTTTTTTACATTTTTGCGTGTTGCAGTTCTTGTCATTACAAAATAAGGAGATAAAATTTGTCGTATATCTTCTGGAACTGGATCTTGATGCATTATGCTGTAGATGTTAGAAGGTACCTAGATGAAATTTTTCCGAACAGGTGGATTGGTAGACGTGGACCTATCAAATGGCTAGCGAGGTCACCAGATTTCAATCCTTTGGATTATTTTATGTGGGACCATCTGAAGAATGTTGTGTATCAAACGAAACCAGCAAATATTCAAGAATTAAAAGAGAGAATTTGGACAACAATAAACAGTATTTCTCAAGACACAATAAACAAGGTTCAACAAGAATTTGTACACCGTTTAGGTTACTGTCAAATACAGCAAGGGCTGCAGTTCGAACATTTATAAAATCATGTATTTCATCATATTCTGTCGGCTAGACAATAAGTATTTTTGATAATATTGTTAATTTAACTAATAAAGAATGTTACGCGTTACTTTATGAGCACACACAAAACTATTGTATTTTTGCCACCCTGTACCAATTGGAATCAACATGTGATACATTTTTGGAATCAGCTCAGCTAGAGTAATCCGAAAATTGAAACAAAATGGGGGTGTTCCATTTAAAAAAAATGACGGTGACGTCATTACTCGAAAGTAATTCACCCTGTATATTAGATTATTTCTTAAAATGGTCTGTTTAGCTAAAAATGAATTTGTTCCATACTTTACGGACACACTGTATGCAAAACTCTGAGGGGGAGTATTGTAGAACTCCTGACATTATGACGTCACCTTTGCATCAACCTTGTTACCTGAACATTGGGATAGGTAGCTTTGATGTAATGGTGACGGACGAGGGCACTTTTTGGGATAGCTATCAGAGTTTGATATACACATGATATGTCATCTAATTTATGCAATAAATAGCTTCAACACTATCATTTGGTAAGGCGCGACCAGAGACCGACTTCAAGCGTAAGACGACAGCGAAGGAGACCAAAACGGTTTCTTCGCCTCTGAACACATGTAATTATATGAAACATATTTGGGAAGACACGACAGACGACAGCAGTTTTAGCATGGTAGTATTTGCTGCGTAGAATTTGCTGCCTGTCGTTTTCCTTTGTCGCGCGTTTCCAAATGGTACCTTTAGGGTACCATTTCGGTAGGCGCGTCAGGAGACAGGAGACCACCGAGACGACCCAAAGGACGACAGATGCATAAATGTTACGCTCCGTACATTTCGGAAGCTTGGAGACGGGTCACGAGACACTTGACAGGATAAAAATTCGAGGGAACGATCAGCGTTGCCAGACCTACTGTTTTTACGTAGATCCACTGTTTTTGTCTCTAGCAAATTTTGTTCTTAATTTATTAAGTTTGCCTCATTCTTCAGCAAATGGTTAAAGAATATTTTCTCTAGTAAATTTTCTGCAGTAAAAGCAGCGTAATAAGGCATCCACTACTGTAGATTGGCTCCATAAAAAAAACATCAAAATAATCATTTTTATTTAAAATGAAACAAAGAATTAATAGGGCATCATAAAAAGAACATGCATATGCCAAACACTACGATTTTGAATTACCTGATTTAGACTGATCTAAAAGAAGTAGGTACCTATTATTTTTCATTGTTTTTTCATTATTTTTCATTGTTTTTTTTTTGTTTCCGTACGTTAAGTACATATTAAAAATGTTATTATTTGTTTTTATTCGTTGTTTACCTTCTAATTTGGGTAGAAAAAAAGTTTATTTTTCGTTTCTTATATACTTGTTTTTTTATTTACTACACTGCATAATTATTTCCCCCTGTATTAAAATCTACTGTTCAGATCTACGGTTTTTTTTTTCACCCATATTGTTCCAAAATCTGGCAACACTGCCTACATCGAAAGAAATTTTCAACCTAATCACCTCCAAAAAGAAGCGATGCCTGAGGAAAGTGACCTCGAGTGCGACACGCAGCAAACGCTTTGCCCCGAGACAGATTCAGAAGTGTCGTCAAGAAGTGTCTTCTTGACGACACTTCTCGTGTCGCGTCGTGCGAAATGTGTTTCATATAATTGTATATATTTTAGACGTGAAGAGACACTTCTCGGTCGAGTCGGCGGTCGTCTGCCGCGTCGGCGGTCGTCTGTCGCGCCTACCGAAATGGTACCTTTAGACTTAGGTACCGAGGAATTAGGTATTTGCCTACTCAATTAAGCGTATAAGTATCACCAGTTACACAGATAAAGCAGGTACTTATATTGCAATAAAACGGTTTATTTTTAATTCCCATTAATTTCTTCAAAATATTGTACTTAAGGATTAAATTTTGAATGTTAAAGAGGACATTTAGAAGTTATTAAGGAATTAATTTTAGATATTGACACTATTTATGCAATAGAGAACACTAGAAAGAAGGGCAATTTGACCATTATTTTTATCAACTTGAGGATTTGATCCGCAATTAATATTTTCTTGAACACAAGTGAGATCACTCCTGACATTATTTGCATTTTATCATATTGATTAACCACAAATGGCACGATCGCACCCATATTTGGCCCTTGTTATTTTTTTTTGTTCTCTAATCAAAAAACAAACTCGAAGGGCGTCGATTTTTCGTATGTTATGACTTTTAATGAAATTATTATTCAAATTACGAAACATTGTTTAAAATATTTAAGCAATTTCTAAACATAAATAAACTTTCAACGTCTT